CCCGAGTCTAGCTCACCACTGGACTTGCTGTCCTCTTCTTTTTTTACCGTCCTCTGGCCTTCCCAACTGGATCCTTAAAAATTCTTGAGCTTTCAGAACAGAGTCAATCTTTTCTTTTTTATCCTTAATCTTGAAAGTAACGTCTTCTGGAAATAACCATTTATATCCAATTGAATTTGTCTGAAGAAAAAGCACAAGTTCTTTATACTTCTTTCTCCGTTGTCTTACTTCAAATGGAATGTCCTTTAATACTCTGATAGTATTCTCTCCCACTTTCAGGGATATTCCAGAAACGGCTTTCAGGATTGCATCCCTTACATGCCAGCAAATCCAAAGCTTTCATATTGTAACAGAAACAAAAGAACTGAAAAAGTGGACATATATCTGAGACATATCCTGCTTTTGTCCCTTATATACACATTTTACTGTTGAACACAGAAGGCAGATAAAGAAAATAAAAATTGAACAATAAGACATTAATGAGTTTAGAGAAATGATTATATTGCTAAAGGCTAATATATAGTTTTTAGATATACAATGTACAAATGGAACTAGTGGGTTAATCCTTAAAGGGATGTTTGCTCTTGTCCATTGTATTCATATAGCTTAACTAGTGACACCTGATAACACGTATTATTGACACTTGGTGCTATGTTCATTCTTTTTTATAGGTATTAGATATTGTACAATTGTTTATTGTCATGTTTGTCTTGCCACGTGATGTTTTAAGTTATATTCTTATTCTTAACACATTACTTTTATACTTTAACCTAGTAGTACTTGATACTTTTTCTGTCACTGTGTTTATAGATGCCATTCTGGCAGTTCAAGTTATAAGCTCAGACTGTAATGGACTAGAGGCCTAACCTAACATGGCACTCCCTCTGCTGAGGGTGACACTGTGCCAAACAGCGTGTGACTGACATTAGACATTCCTCCCACATGAGCATATATCCTGTACAGCAGTTCCAAACCATCCAAGCGGAGAATAATCAATGCAGGCTGTCCCTTAAAATGAAGCCTTAGAATGAGGCCTTTGTCCTGGCAGGCAGCAGAGTAGCTGCCAAGGAAAGGTGATGCCTGAGGACAGAGAGGCCTTTCATGCCTCTTCCTTTGAAGACTGTGTATATGGGGGATTGCTATCTGATCCATTATGTCTTTCTGTCAAGAGGCTATGTCAGTAATGCAAGGCACAGCCTTATTAAAGCAATGCCCAGGAGTTTATGCCACATTTAGCTAAAGAGCAGATAAGTTTAAAATGGGAATTCTTTACTTTCTAAGGACTGTAGAAATAAAATGATAGCTAATATTGCAGAGATCACATGGTTCCAAGAACAGATGGCAGAGGCACAAATCTATAGGGTACATAGGGAAGGCAAGATGGAATAAATATTAACTCAGATTATGAGATATTGCACTGCTTATTCATATAATGCACATAAAGTGCTAGGCCTTGCTAAGCAGCCAGCCTGCTAATTTGTATACCAATCTATTGAAAGGGAGAGGCTGAGAAAGAAGAACGTTCAAAGAGAGATGGTGTAGGGTTGCCAGGTCCTCAGCCACCAGTAGGGGATGGGGAGCTAAGGTGACCAGATCCAGGTTGGGAAACTCCTGGAGATTTGAGGATGGAGCCTGGAGAGGACAGGAACCTCTTTGGGGTACAATGCCATAGGAGTCTACCCTCCAAAACATCCGTTCTCTCCAAGGGAACTGTTCTCTCTAGTATGGAAATGAGCTGTAATTCCAGGGGATCCCCAGGTCCCACCTGGAGGCTGGCATCCCTAGGTGGTAATGAAACAAAATGGGGGGGGGGGTTTGGCTGAGTTACAGTGCATGAGAATTCTTACTGTAAGGCATCTGGTAAATGAGGGATAATCTCAGTTTGTCCACACTGGACACAGAAAGTTTCATGTGAGCAAGTTAGTGTCATTGCAGAAAAATGGCACCATCTTTGTTCATCCAGCAGTCTGGGGAAAGCTGAAAATAATGGCGGTAGTTGGTTGGATATTTATTCAGATTACTAGGAGTAAGGCCTGTTGTGGGTAGAAATACAACAAGCTCTAGAAAGAGGCTCCAGGTGAGTGTCCCAGCTGTGGCTGGTGGGGCAGCAGAGGTAAGGGGAAAATAGAGGGAGACAAGCCATGTTTATTTCATTCTGCTTAGCTATAAGGCAGGGCTATCTCGAGTCATTTTGCTGCCCCAAGTGGGTAGTATGGCAGGAGAGCTGCATGCCATGTTTTCTGGTTTCCAAGGGTCTGGAAAGCGGTTCTGTAGCCAGTTACAGAGTTGCCAACTCTGGGTTGGGAAATACCTGTAGATATGAGGGGTAGAGCCTGGGGAGGGCACATTTTTGGGGTGGGGAGGGACCTCAGCAGGGCATAATGCCATAGAGTCCACTGCCCAAAGCAGCCATTTTCTCCAGAACTGATCTTGGAGACCTCCAGGTAGGGCTGCCAAGCCGCGGCGGGGGATCCGCACGTCTTCACAGGATCCCTGCCACGGGGACAGCGATACGCGTTGCACCGCCGTCACCAGGAAGTGACACTACGCGTCGGTCTGGCAACGAGCCAGAGCGACGTGTAGCGTCACATCCTGGTGACGGAGGTGCAATGCGTATCGCTGTCTCCCGCGGCAGGGATCCTGTGAAGACGCGTGGATCCCCCGCTGCGGCTTGGCAGCCCTACCTCCAGGTGCTGCCTGGAGGTTGGCAATACAAAGGGAAGGGCCAGATTTGTTGAAGGACTTTAGTGAGGTATAATGCTATAGAGCTTACCCTCCAAAGCAACCATTTTCTCCATGGGGACTGATCCCTGTTGTCTGAAGATCAATTGTAATTCAGCGAGAAAGCCTACCCTTTCCCCCTGACCCCTTTCAGTTCCAAAGCTGCTTCCTGTTTAACACTTTAACTGATTAACAGTTTAACTGACTCCCTGCTAATGCCCCATGGCCTCTTGGGACTCCCAGCTTGGGAATTGTAGTTTTAATCCCTGTGCTATGGTTGCAGTAAGGTCAGCTGAGAACTACAACTCCCAAGGTGCAATGCATCAAAAGTGGGGGTGTAAGAATGGAGGAGCTGGCAGGATGGGTCAATAGGACACCAAGGCAGCTTCCCCAGTGGCCAATGGGAGAGTAGGTGAGTCGTTGCCAGCACAGCTTGGGGGAGGGGGAAGAGGATAATCTAAGGACCTGAAGGAGAGTAGTGCTCATGAATACCATGACCACTACATTACAACCCCATCATTCCTCCAAGAAGCTCAGGATAGCATAGGTGAGAGTGACTGGCTCAAGCTTACCCAGCAAGTTTCAGGACAAAGTCTAGATTTGAACGTGGTTTCCAGTTTTGTTTTATCTTAAAGTCACTTGTATGTTGAAAGTTTGCTTCATGTATAAATGTGTTTTTAGACAACTCAGACCAAACATATAAAATATATGAATAGAAGCAACAAATATGCATGTGAATCTGCCAGGACCTTCAGTTGGGAAGGCCCATTGATGACCTCTAATTTGACGTGGCACAGCATTGGCTACCAGTAATTGCCCTCTTGGGCTGAGCGATGGTGGCAGGATAAAGCCCACTAGGCTGGCTGGGCCTTTCCCAGGGAGGCAAGTGATGATAGCGGCTAGGAATTGCATAGGGCTGCCAAATCCCCCTGGGGGGCAGATTTCCCCCCGCTTTGGAGGCCCAATTTCCACCCCCTCGGAATCGGGCCCCGGGGGAAACCCCACCCCCGCGTGCACGTCACAGGGAAGTGATGTCATGACGCTGGGCACGCTGGGGGCAGGGCATAGCCATTTGAGGGGGAAACTCTATATTTTCCCCTCAAATGGCTGTGCCCCGCCCCCAGCGTGCCCGGCGTCATGATGTCACTTCCCTGTGACGTGCATGCGGCGCGCACGCTAGGAGCCAGCACAAAGTCCCCCGCCGGCAGAGGTAAGTCGATTTGGCAACCCTAGAACTGCAGCTGACAGCATTTGCTCACATACACAATCTTTGTGGGTTGGAAAGCAGCAGGGCTATTTTTGGGCAGGAACGCACAGGAACAGAATTCCGGCTGGCTCCTGAGTTGGCCACACCCTTCAGGAACTCATTAGCATAATAGGCCACACCCAACAGCAGAAACTCATTAGGATTGGCTACATTAGGCGTGTGTGGCCTAACATGCAAAGAAGTTCCCGCTAAAAAAAAGCTCTGGGTTTTGACAACAAACAAGGTAAACAGAATAAGAAGCAAAAGGTTGGTGTGGCTGGATGACCACACTTCTGGTAACATGGGGGTGTGGCCTAATATGCTAATGAGTGGTGCTGTCATGGGTGTGGCCTAGTGTGCTAATGAGTTTCTGCTATTGGGTGTGGCCTTTTATGCTAATGAGTTCCTGCTGGGCTTTTTCTACAAAAAAAGCCCTGGAAAGCAGTAAGGTTGCCAACAGACTTGAAGAAAAATGTCCTGTCCATTTAGAGGAGGCTTAATGTATGGAAATGGGCTGCTGAAGGATTTCATGGCATGGAGGTATATAACATCACCTGATAAATAACATCCCATTAAGCCTTTGTCAAAGGAAGAGGACACTTAGAAAGCCAGAACGTGACACCATGAAGCAAAAGGCATCACCACCTATTTTTTGTTTGAATGAGGAGGAATGGGATGGAGCAAGACAAGTTAATGGTAGTTCACTCACTGGGTGGTCTGCCAGAGGGTATTTTACTCAGCACCTCTAAAACCCAGAGCTGGCCTTGTAGAGACCCAAACTGCTATTGTGATTCAAGTGCCATCCTTACCCCTTTTCCCCCAAGCCCACTGCTGCCTACTTTAAGCTTCAAAGACCATGTAATATGCAGTGACATCTGATCTGCCCTTTCTTTTCTCTACACCAGAGATGATCATCTGGCACATAGTGAATCCAGGAAATTCAATTGCTTTCAGTCTAATTCTCATGAGTTCCCTTTCAGTCTGATCTTTGTCCCCTTGCCTTATGGTCTGTCTTCATTTTACTTTTCTCTAGACTGCAAGTTCATCTGTCACTACCGATGTCGTGTTCTGATCCGACTTGACTGCAGCGGTCCCAGATATCAAGACAGTGATCAGAATGAATGTAATGAGCAGACGGTGGAAAAAGACACCAATGTGGTAAGAAAATGGTTCTCACTCCTGTGCAGGCTGTAAAATAGACATATCTTCACATCTGAAGAAAATATGTCAGGAATAGCAAAAAGCTCTCTAAGAACCCACGTGACAAGAAGCTAGAAACATGTAAAAGTTTCCAGGATAAATCAGAGCCTAAGCATAGTGGTATAGTGGTTTTGGTGTCACACTAGAACTGGGGGAAACCAGATGAAACCCTTTACTCGGCTATGAAACTCTCTGGGTGACCTTAGACCAACAGCTCTCTCTCAGCCTAATTTACTTCACCAGCTTGTTGTGAAGACACAATGGATGAAGGAAGAGTAATGCATATGCTTCCCTGAGCTCCTTGGAGGGAGGGCAGGATAAAAATGTGGTGTGACAGAAAATGGATTCAGAGGCCCAGCCTAAATCATAATCACATTACCATTATATGATCTATTTATATCCTTTTTAAAAATAAAATGGATCTTTTTCTTTCGTAAGTTGTCAAAATGCCTTTATAGGAGCAGATCTGGAGGGTGGGGCAGGTTACAAGTTTGTATTGGCCCAAAGACATGATGCTGTCAACGGACGTAGGCCATGCATATAGAACCAAACATGCAAAACCTGTGTACTTTTGACACACTATCAAAGAGTACACATAATTCCTTAGATATGGACGAACTTTCTTCTGTGAGCTCTGTGGTTCCCTTGTGAAATCTATACCGCAATGATTATAGTTTCTCGTAGTGTAGCAATAGGCATGTTATGGATGATGGTCTTATTGCTGCCTCCTTGAGGGAATCCTTCTACTGGGGTACTCTGCCCTACCCTCAACGTACACAGCAACTTATTTGCATTTTCCATACAATTCAAGATTTAACAGAAGAGATTATCGTAATCTTAATTGTGGTCATGGCAGATCCAATTCCATCCTGTTATGTTGGTACTGCTCTCTGCAGCTGGGACTGCATATTAATGTCTCCCCAGAGGAGAGGAGTGCAAAAAGGGCAGGGGCTTAAATATAGGCACCCCATCAGCCCAGCTGGGATTGCTCACTACTAATTTACACTTTGCCATGTGCTGGACTAAACGCTTCTGTCATTGAAATACACTGCTTAGCAACAGCACTTATAAAATATTTCTAAGGTGAACAGAAATGCACAGACACACACATTCGGGGGAGGGGAGGATTCTTTATTGTCGCCCCCAAAGGCACCTAGGCAATTGTAAAAATCATATCTTCTGTGTTCTTCCATCTCTTTCAATTGGTCATTTAATTTAAACCACTTAATTCCTTCAAAAGCCCTCTTGCCTGTTTCCATTCACTGTTGATGTTTCCATGAGCTTAAAGAATCCTGCTTTAGGATACATGAAGGATGGTAAAGTGGTCACAATGCAATTCTAGAAATATGGCAGTGTGTATTTAATTCTGTTTCACAACAAATATTTACTGTTCGATCTAATTATGCAATAGAATAAAGCTGCAGGTAAAAAAACCATATTTTTGAACCTTTCCCTATGTAAAATTTCCCAGTTAGTAGAAAAGTGCCATAGAAAAGTGATAGATGAGCTACAACAGGGGTGTCAATCATGTGGCCCGTGGGCCATATCTGGCTCCTGCAGGGCTGGTATATGGCCCACAAGGAAGTGCTTGCATTTCCTAGCCATTACTGCTGCTGCATCGCCAAAGCCTCTCTTCCTCCTTAGGGAAGCGAGGGAGGAGGAAAAAGAGTACATGCGTGCAGTACTAAAAAAGCTCCCTCCTGCTTCCTCTGAGGGGCTGCTGCGATGCCTAGCCTCTCTTCCTCCTTTAGGGAAGTGAGGGGGAAGGAAAAAGAGAGTGCACAGGCACGCAGCAGAGAAAAGCTCCCTCCTGCTTCCTCCTCTGGGGCTGCTGCTGCGTTGCCTAGCCTCTCTTCCCTTGTTTGGAGAGGGAGTCCCATGGCACCTTCAAGACCAACAAAGTTTTATTCCAGGTTTATTTATTTATTTATTCATTCATTCATTCATTCATTCATTCATTCAGTTTATACCCCGCTCTCCCTGCCAAGGCAAGCTCAGGGTGGCTTTCCTGTACATGAATACTGAAAGGGCGAGGGGGAGAGAGAGGGATGGAGGAGGGGAGAGAGGGGTGGGGGGGAGAGGGAGAGATTCTTCTGACAAGCCTGCTCTGCCGTTTACCGTGAGACCTGATCTCTCTCCCTCTCCCTCTCCCACACACGTGTTAGAAAAGGAAGGGGGGCAGAAAAGAAATGCATTTGGAATAATGGGAATTGAAGGGAAATTATTTTGGCGTATTCTGAAAAGGTTTCTTGAAAAAAAAAGATTATGGTCCCGATCACATGCAGAATTAGCCGTGCGATAGGCATGAATGTAGGGCGGATTTTAAGGGCGCGATCACACAGGAACATCTGGCAAGCATCCCGCATCCGTCGGCAACCCGTTTCGCTCTGCCGAAGAAGCGGAGTAAAAAGACACTGGGGAAAGTCCAGTAGCAAACGGGTTGCTACGGGCCACAGATGGACTTTCCTGTGTGATGGCTCCAGCGTGCTCTCATGGCATCGGGATGGTCTGATCAGGCCATCCCAACTCCGTGCCATTGTTTTTTCCCCTTCTCAATATGCGCATCATCACATACTGCCATAGGAAGCCCTCAGTGTAGAGATGTGATTCATTGTTCCTCTGTATAAGCGAATCGAAAACAAACAGCAGAAAAAAAAACCCAACTCACCCACGATTGCGTCTGATCACGCAATGGCGGGCTATGCCCGCAGCTTCAAAGAAGTGTGTGATCACGCAACTGCAGGTGTGCTGTCTTGGCTGGCTGCCACAGAAACCACACACTGGAAGCTTGTAAACACAGTCCAGAATCAAGGTCAGAGAGCTAAAAGTCAAAGAGCCAGAAGGTCAATTCAAGGTTGCAAGGACAAGGAGTGGCTGCTACACACACACAGGAGCAGGTCTGAGTGAGCAAAGTTGCTGCTGCGTTGAACCAGTTGCACTGAGTGCTTTTGAGCAGGTCCTTCCTTCCCTGGGGTTGAAGTCTGCAAAGGCTTATAGCTCTTCCCTCTGCCTCTGCAGGAGCTGGAGTCTGGCACTCCTTCTTCGCTCCTGCATAGTCAGCCTCTGACGTGCCCTATGTCTGGGGCACTCAGGAGAACTAGGCAAGGAGTCTGGCCTCGGGGTGTCTGCAACTGGGGGTGCTGGGCCAGGCTCAGGATCGGCCTCTCCTTCTGGCTGCACCTCCTTTGCAGCTGCTGGGGACTCTTCCTCCTCAGGTATAGTTGAGGGTTCTTCTTCTGGGCTGACTCCAGAGGAGGCTGGGCTGCTTCCTGCCTCTTCCTCATCTGAGGAGTAGTCAGCCTCAGCAGATCTAGGACCCACGACAGCGGGTCAATTTCCTCCGGGGTAAATAGCCTCGCTTCCCCTGCACATTATCTCACATGTGTGATTGGGACCTATGTTTCTCTTTGCCTATCTGGGATTTCCTTTAAAAAAGACCCTGGTTAGGAATTACAACACTTGGATTGGATTCCATGGAAGTAGATGGCTAAGTATTTAAAAATACATTTATAGTTCCATATATTCTAGTTCAACACATGGTCTCCCTCTCTCCCCTTCCACCTCACTGGCTGTCTTTATTCACATTAAACCCCCTCCCCTGCTTTTTAAACTTTTTATTATCATCACTAGCAGTGAGTAGATCTTGTACAGTCTGAAAGCAACACATTATTTCACTTGGAGTGATCCCCTTTCCAGTTCTGATGAAAAAAATAACAACAAAAGAAACCTAATATCACAGCTTGCAATCTTTATTAGTGGAGCAAGAGTCCAGTAGCACCTTAATGACTAACAAATTTTGTGGCAGGGCATGAGCTTTCGGGAATAACTGCTCACTTCTTCAGATACAGCTAGAATGTAAGTCCATTTGTCCTTATATCTTGGAGAGTGAAGTGATTTCAGATGCCAAATAACAATAGCAGCCATTGGTAATGAGAGAAGAAAGCTAGGTCTCAATTCACCCCAGGAGTATGCATTGAGCAATTCATCAGTTGCAATTCATCAGTCTCTCTAATCTTCCTCTGAAATTCCTTTGTAAGAGCACTACTACTCTTAAGTCAGCAACTGAATGCCCTGGAAGGTTAAAATGTCCCCCTACTAGTTTTTGAATGTCATTGTTTCTTATAGCCGTAGAAAGAGTAAGAGTTCAGTAGCAAAATTTATGGCAAGGTATGAGCTTTCGTGAGTCACTGCTCACTTCTTCAGACTTATGTCCATTTATTCTTTGCATCCTCATGGACTGAATCTTCCTGAACCAAACTGGACCTAGGTTTCCTGTCTCCTTACCAGTGATGATATCTCCATGCCTACTACCCTTCTGCATATCACACCTAATCCAATTAAACCTATTGCCATTTGGCATCTGAAATCATCTTTATAAAGGTTATATCTCTGGTACCTCATGTTGCATTTTATGGCACACATCATCCGGCCCAGCAAAGTGACATTTAATGTCAGATCCAGACCTCGTAACAAATGAGTTCCACACCTCTGAGCTATAGCCTGATAAATACGTTTTCTTCTTGCAGAAAATTTACATGGGGAGTATCCAAAAATGGTGACTCTTACTAGAAATCCTAAATGGTATTGCCTTCTCTGTCTGTCACTCACTTCCAGATTCTGTTATCTCATCCTGCTGCACCAGACCTGTGTGACCTTGGAAAAACTGCTTATTTTCACAGTGCTTTCATTTTTACTGTATATGCTAGAAATAATGGACTAGTCCATGTACTAGAAAGGATGGAAGGGAAGCAAAGCAGTTTGTTAGAATGCTACATAGCATTTATATGTTGAATACTTTTAACAGAACAAAGTAACTGCTCTCTAGCTGCTTTCAATGAATTCTTCTGGAGGAAGAAAGAGGATTCCATGAGGTCCTGGCTCCATGCCCTATACACCACTGTGCCACAGGTCAGTGGAAGGTAGAGCAGCTCAGGGCTATTTTTGGGCAGGAACGCACA